TATCAGCTCTCGCTATAATCTCTCTCATTATTGTTATAAGACCCTCTCGTTTATTATCCAGCTCCTCCTTTATCCATGTGTTGCTTGGCGGTGGACTGTATGCATTTATGATTATTAGTTTATCATCCTGATTGTAGATCTCCAGTGCTATTAGGTCAACTTCTCGTGGATTGGCAATCATTATTTCGTTCACCTTTAGGTATTCTTTCACCAGCACAACAACGCCACCGCCTTTCCTAATTTTTCTGTCTCGTCTCCAAACTGAGACGAAACTGAAACCAAACTAATGCATTAAAATTTTCTATTCTGACGGTCGAATCTTTGATCGAATGTAGCTTTAAAGTTGAGGATGAAGGAGGCGTCCACGACTTCTTTCAGTCTTTCCTCTTGTTGACCACCCGTTCGGGGTTCAAGTGTTTCTTTATATTTATTCGACTTATTTGTGTTTCCAATGTTTACCAGCGTCCAATATGCTGCCGATGTTACTTTGTTTAAGTGTGCCTCTTGAGATAATGTTGAAATTATGTCCACTTCCAAATCCTCCTATATCCGGTTCCTGTAGTTGCCTTCCCCCATATGATGTAGATACCTTCTGGTCTCCTTTCTCCCTTTCCCATCTTCATTACCTTACACTTGCTGTGATTGAAGTTTAGCAACCATTTGTTTGCCTACTCCAGTAGATTGTCCAGGTCATCCTGTAACTTCTACAGTGGTGACGGACAATATTGGCCACACTCCGAGCTAGTCGTTATGCAGTAGTTCCCAATGTCAGGTTCAGATTAGTCTATGGCGACACGCATTTGTTGTTCACGTTACGTGTTTTAACCAGGTCTCGGTAACTCTGCCTGGGGACAGTTTGAAGGCCTAATACTGTACTGAGAGTGGACGCCCCTGGTGGTGGTGCAGGAGGCGGAGGGCGTGAGTGGTACTAGGTGAGGTACACCACCACCTGGTACCTCATGACTTGGGGGGTGTGGTACACCCCCCAAGTCATGCCATCTGTCTAGCGCAAGATGGACTACTCTTCACTCTGCCTCACTCTCTAGTCGTCGTAGTGTTAGCTAAGAGGTCATTCAGATAGTCTTTGTTTTTGGGTGTCACCAGAGTGAATGAAAATCGCACAGAATGTACCATTTTCAATGCATCTCACTATGCAATACTTGTTCGATATCAATAGTTGAATATAATTAAGACAGGTGATTTAGCCGTGTACAGTTGTGGGCAGATAATGGTGGTGTGAGGAGGTAGCGTCTCCCACTCCCAGTGGGCATAGTTTATGCACTCTGCTCAGTCTACACGCAAGGACTCTGATTAATACAATATGCAACGTTCCTTGCACCATCCTGGGGGCCAAGGCATGTAACAGCATCGAAGATATGGAAAAGAAGACATTGGCTTCTTATAAGAGCCTAAGAGTTATAGGAAGTAGATAGCCTATTGACCCATGCGAGGGAGGTAATATTTATACACAACCAAACTCATTCATATCTATATCTAACCTACGCTTGAAATAATCCAGCCTGTAACCCAATTCCCAAACCAGTATTTATCAAGATCTTTTCTGAATCTGGGCTTATTCAGGTTGTCTCTAGAACTTATTCAGTTTGTATTCATAAATTATTGGGTTTGTATATCAGAAGCGGAAGACGGGAGATGACTAGGCAAAGTGTTGAACGTGACAGTGAAATAGTGATATTAGTAGAGATGACAAGAGATTGAAGAACAACGCCGATATATTGGAGAACACACGAACAGATGTCGACAACAGGCACGCGCAAGCTCAACGACTTGCACAGGAACGTGATGGAGAACGGAGGTGGAAACTTCCGTTCCTTAGCTCATATACACAGAGCATACACCGAGAGGGGGGGGGGGGGGAGATCATAGCAAGGAAGGTGTCAATAGACGTTACTTAGAGGAAGGGTCTATGGAAGCTTGAGTTTCTATCCCAGGAAGAATATCAAGAAATTTATATCGAATTACCAGAGGGAAAAAGAGAAGCTCTCGAAGCAAATTATATTTATATATTCTTATATATTCGACCCTGAATTCATCTTGGAGGATAAACGGTTAGTTTGGGTAACATGGCATCTTCTTAAAGGTGCAGGAAGGAGCCAGTGATTTTAGTGAGAACACATCCTGAGAAGGCAATACAACGGTGATTGTGAAATTTAAAGAACGTGTGGAAGTTATGCAAGTGATAAGATTTTCAATGAAAGTGATAATTTTACCCTTAAAAGGAAATAACGTAATTGATGGTATACAAATTTGACATAAAGAACTGCAGTGTTCGCTTTACCGCTGGCATTTGTAAGGCGTGGGGGACAATGTTACACGTGGATTACATTTACTGCACTTCTTGGGGATAAATTAGGAACTATATTTCTTACACAAATAAATCACATTAAGGTGATGTATCACAGAGAACATCAGTAGGAGGTCTACTGAGGCAAGCGTCCTAGAACATAGCATGGACGGAGCTCGGAAGAACGTTTAGGAGCGTGTATAACTGATCAGAAAGTGTTCATGTTCCACTGTGAAACAAATGGTCGAAATTATCCCTCAAATCAAAATGATGGAATAATGAAATGATAAGATAGTTAAGAAAAAAAATCTCGTTTATCGAAAAAGACAATAAAATAATAAGGAAGAGAATGGAACTTTTCAATAAGTCACTCGAGACAGGAACACTTCCACATGAATGGAAACTTGCAAATGGTATACTAGTATATAAAGAAGAGAGCAAGGCTTGTAATGGGCCAATCAGCTATCCGCCAGAAGCCGGTATACTCATAAGAACAATAATGGGAGACCACATAGTGCAACCTTTAATCCTCATCTAATTAACAGATCCCCAAACATGGTTTTCAAAGTAATCGCTCATGTTTGACCAGTCTTGTTGATTTATTGTAAAACATATTTAATACGTTCCACAAAAGGAAGGTTTATACAATATATACCTATATATATTTATATATATAGGTATATTTTTAGAAAACATTTGATTATGTTCTTACTCACTAACTGCTTATAAAAATAAAGGCACACAGACGCCCGTGTATCAAGTTGATTGGAATATTGTTTATGTGGACGTTAAGAACTTGTTTCTAAATGGAAATGCATTATATCAAAAGAGCCGTTTGACATCCCTCATGATCTTGAAGACCTCGATTAACATTTGCCACCTGCTGCTGCTCCAGTTAGACTACCTCGGTCAATTGTGGTCACCGGGTTACAGAGTGGACTGCCAGTCCCTACATAAAACCCAACATACGACGACTAGACTAATCTCTGGTATTCACGACTCCCCACACTGACAGGTTAAGGGATTTCCTCTCCCAGCTGGTACCTTGTGTTTGGCCTCCTGCTCTCAACACCTATCTTCATCACTTTGCACTTGCTCGAGTTAAACTCTAGTAGCCATTTGTTGGACCATTCCCTCAGTTTGTCCAGGTCATACTGTAGCCTCTTGCAGTCCTCATCTATCTTAATCCTTCTCATAATTTTAGCATTATCAGCAAACATTGGAAGGAATGAGTCTATACTTCTGGAAGATCATTCACGTATATCAGAAACAAGAATGGGCCGAGTACAGAACCCTGTGATACTCCACTGGTGACATCACGACTGTCTGAGGTCTCATCCCCTCACAATATCTCCCTCTGCTTCCTATGGTTTAGGTACTCCCTTATCCATTGGAGCACCTTATCACTTACTCCAGCTTGTTTCTCCAACTTATGCAACAGTCTCTTATAGGGTACTGTGTCAAACGCTTTCTGACAGTCCAAAACAATGCAGTCTGCTCATCCTTCTATTTCTTCCTTAATAATTGTTGCTTGGTCATAGAATTCTATTAAACCTGTGAGACACGCCTTGCCATCCCTGAACCCTTGCTGGTGGTGTGTTACAAAGTCCTTTCTCTCCAGATGTGCTACCAGGTTTTTTCTCACGATCTTCTCCATCAACTTGCATGGTATACAAGTTTAGTTTAGTTTAGGGCCTCCTGCTTATCCTCTTTTTTGTATATTGGGACTATATTAGCTGTCTTCTAACTGGTAGATCTTCTGTCTCCAGTGACTTGTTATACACCATAGATAGTGGCATGCAAAGTGCCCCCTCTTTTAGCAGCCGTGGTGAGATTCCATCAGATCCAACAGCCTTAGTTACAACTAGATCGAGCAGATATCTCCTAACCTCATCTCTGGTAATTTCAATAACTTGAAATTATCCTTCTTCCTCCCATTGTTATAGTGCCTGCTATGTAGTTTCTGTAATCTTCACAACCTGAGATGTTCATCTCATCGAAGCTCCATGACTTCCTCACCAGCAGGGCCACTCCTCCTCTTCCCTCCCTCTCTTTCCTAATTATATAGTAGTCCTGCAGGAACACTGCATTTGTTATAATGCCTGACAGTTTAGTTTCTATGAGTACTATTACATCTGGGTTTTCTTCTTGTGTCCTTTCTCCAAGTTCACTTGTCTTATTTGTAATCCCATCGATGTTTGTGTACATCACTTTGAAGCTTACTTTCATCTGTCCATCCTCACTTACTCTTACTCTTGCTGTCTGTTCCACTGGTGCAGACAGTTGTTCCATGGACTGGGCCGCTTGGGTTGGGTTGGCGTGCTGTGCGATACTTAACATGGGTTCGGAGGATGCTGATGTGTGGCATGATTCAAATGATGGGGGAGAAGGGGGTAGGGGAAGAGTGGGGGGGGGGGCTGTGTGGGCATTTAGTGGGGGGGGGGCTGGGAGGGGTTGGGGCAAGGAGAACTTTCATTGAATGAAAGGTGGGAGTGATGCTCCTCTCTCTGGGCTGCCGAACTGCTTTTGGAGAGTTCCCTACTCCCCTCTGGGTTTGTAGAGTTTGGGGGTGTAGGATGTATGTGTGTGTGTGGGGGGGGGGAGGAGGGAGGGGAGGGGCGTGCATTCATACGCACATATTAATATTTAACCAGAAAATCCATATTAGTGACACTTTTGTGTTTTTTCTTCACAGACGAAGGATGAAACAGGCAGATAATGGGAACACGCTCCCCTCGCTCTGGATACGCAAATCTACATGTCCAGGTATGTCCTAACACCTTCACTAGGTGTGCTCCTGTGCATGTCTAGGTAGTGTATTAACACCTCTACATGTCCAGATACTTCTGACACCTTCACTGACATTAACTAAGCAATTATACATGTCCAGGTATGCCCCAACACCCTCGCTAACAATAGTTTAACGCCTCTGTATGTCCACGTGTGTCGTGACTCTCTCACTGACACTGGTTAAGCGCCTCTGGATGTCCAGGATTGTTCTGACGTCCCTAAATGACTTTAGTTGTAAGAGTTTGGGCATATGTGTGTGTGTGTAATTATTTAAGAGTAGTTACTTAAGTAGTTAAAGAATGAAAGCTACACTCGTGGTGTCCCGTCTTTCCAGTACTCTTTGTCATATGACGTGTTTGGCATCCACCGCCTTCTCACTTAACTTATACCAATTGCGTGTCAGGCTCAGTTCCTTCAGTTGTTCTCCATATCCCATCTCATGTAACTCCGTTCATGAGATTGGATATGTTGACAGTTCAACTCCGGGACTAGCCTCGTCGCAAACTTTTGAACCTTTTCCAGTTTCCTTCTGTGTTTCTTTAGGTGGGGCTCCATGATGGCACTGCATACTCTAAGACTGGTCTCACATAGGCAGTGTAAAGTGCTCTGAATGCCTCCTTACTTAGGTTTCTGAATGACGTTTTAACTTTTGCTAACATAGAGTACGCTGCTGTCGTTATCCGATTTATATGTGCCTCAGGAGCTAGATTTGGTGTTATGTCCACTCCCAAGTCCCTTTCTCGAGTCGCCACAGGAACGTAGTTTCCCTTCATTGGTGTACTGGCCCTTTGGTCTCCTGTCACCTAGTCCCATTTCCATAATTTTACACTTGCTCGTGTTGAACTCCAGTAACCATTTCTCTGACCATCTCTGCATCTTGTTCAAGTCCTCTTGGAGTATCCTACAATCCTCATCTGTTATAACTTGTCTCATTAATTTCGCATCATCCGCGAACGTCAACATATAGGACTCGACTCCTGTAGACATGTTCACGTATATTAAAAATAGAACTGGTCCTAGCAGAGTAGTAGGAGAGACTGCTTAGCGTGCATTTTTTATTTTACAAAAAATGAGTGCTAAGCGGTCCCCCCTTTAAAGGGTAAATTGTCAAATATAAATGGTCAATATATGGTAAAACCTAGACAAATTTGCTGGTATGCGATCTCCATTTTTAGGGATTAATTTTGGTAGAGTCCCGATTTGGGTAAAATCGTATCAAATCTATTTTCAGATAATATGCTCATTAGGAGTTCGTTAATTAATTTATCACGTCAAATTTTAATTCCGCGGATCAATGCCCGAAGTGGGCGCATTGAATATTTGTAAGGAAAATGCGTAAGGAATGTAAGAAAATTTACACCTATGCTTTACCCGTTTAAGAGTAAAGTTAAGGTCGGAGGAAGTCCGTTTTCAGAGAATATGTTCATTAGGAGTTTGTTAAGTAATTGCCAGTGCTAAATGTTAGTTTTTGAACCTGGCTCTATACGTTTATAGGTGTAATTTCGCAACTAACAGTTCAATTTTCCTGAAATTGTAAACATTCATATTTTAGACGAAGTAAGAAAAGAAAATAGTTACTTAGCTCCAGCTCCTGTCCTTCGCCTTAGTTGTCTTTGATAAACTCTTTATTAACAGCCCCATTTCCCCAAGATTTTAAACATAGTTTTTTCGAAGTAGTAAAATATAATAATTCAGTTACCGAGCTCCAGCTCTTGTCCTCTGTCCTATTTCACTCTTGTACTTTCGTTATTATCTACCCTATTCCTCCGAAATTTAAAACAGTCATATTTCAGAAGTAGTAAATGAGATCAAGGCAGTTACCAAGCTCCAGCTCTTGTTTCTCGCCTTAGTTCGCTCTCATAAGTTTCTTATGAACAGTTCAATTTTCATAAAATTTAAAATGTACATATTTCTGACATTGTAAAACAGAACAATTCAGTTTAAGTTTCTCCGCCTTACTTCAGTGTTCAGCCAAAACATAGTTATATCAGAACAACAACAGACCAACTCCTGCCTGTGGCGGTTATCACACTAAACATGTCTTCCAGATTAAAGTACATGCTTATCATTGTAGGTAAACATGAGTCATGACCTCTTTCAAAAGTCGTGTGTGCGTGCATATGTATGTGTGTATGTAAATAAACACTTAGGTAGGGTTAACCGGCTATAACAGGCCTTATCTTTCTCTCTCCCTAGTGCATGTGCCCCCTTGTGTTAAATAATCTATTTTATCCACCCTATCAATTCCCTTGAGAATCTTGTATTCGGTGATCATATCTCCCTGAATTCTTCTGTCTTCCAGCGACGTGAGGTTTAATTCCTGTAGTCTCTCCTCGTAGCTCATGCCCCTCAGTCTGGGGACTAGTCTGGTGTCAAACCTTTGAACCTTCTCCAGTTTAGCCTTATGCTTGACTAGATATGGACTCGATGCTGGAGCTGCATACTCCAGGATTGGTTTGGCATATGTGATATACAAAGTTCTGAATGATTCCTTACTCAAGTTTCCAAATGCCGTTCTTTTTTTGGCCAACCTGGCATATGCCGCTGATATTATCCTGTTGATATGTGCTTCGGGGGACAGGTCTGGTGTGATATCAACCCCCGGATCTTTCTCTCTCTGATTCTTGAATAATTTCATCTCCCAATCGATACCTTGTATCTGGCCTTCTGCTCCCTACACATTACATTTGTTCGGGTCAAAGTCTAGCAACCATTTGTTGGGCGATTCCTTCAGTTTGTCCCCAGGTCATCTTGAAACCTTAAGCTGTCCTCTTCTGTCTTAATCCTTCTCATAATTTTGGCATCATCAGCAAACATTGAGAGGAATGAGTCAATACCTTCTAGAAGATCATTTACGTATATCAGAAACAGGATAGGTCCGAGTACAGAGACCTGTGGGACTCCACTGGTGACTTCACACCAATCTAAGGTTCACCCCTCACTGTAACTCTCTGCCTCCTATTGCTTAGGTACCTCTTTATCCACTAGAACACACTACCAGTTATTCCTGCTTGTTTCTCCAGCTTATGCACCAGCCTCTTATGAGGTACTCCAAGTGCAGGGACTGTCCATAGACAATATAGAGCTATTGTGAAGACCTTGAAGTTATCTTGAGATGATTTCGAGGCTTAGCGTCCCCGCGCCCCAGTTACACATCCCCAGGAAGCAGCCCGTAGCAGCTGTCTAACTCCAGGTACCTATTTACTGCCAGGTGAATAGAGGCATCAGAGAGAAAGACACTCTGCCCATTTGTTTCCGCCTCCACCGGGGATCGAACCCAGAACCTCAGGACTACGAATCCAAAGCGCTGTCCACTCAGCTGTCAGGCCCCTGGAATCTCTTGTTAAGTTCTTCTCACACCTCTTTGTCATTCTCTGTGTACCTTTCCTCACCCGTTTTAAGCTTCATCAGCTGTTCCTTCACTGTTGTTTTTCTCATGATGTGACTGGGGAGCAGCTTTGGTTCGGTCTTGGCTTTATTTGCTGTATCATTTTCATACTTTTTCTCTGCTTCTCTTCTCACACCAACGTACTCATTCCTGGTTTTCTGGTATCTCTCTCTCTCTATTATTTCTGGTGTTCTGTTATTCCGGAAGTTCCTCCACGCCCTTTTGTTCAGTTTCTTTGCTTCCATACATGCCCAATTAAACCACGGATTCTTCTTTTGCTTCTTAGTTATTCCTTTTGGGCCGGAATAAAGCTGTTTACTGCTTCGTGACACTCTTAGGTGACAGTTCATCATGTCTTGTATGGACTTAGGTCTGAGTTCTGTGTCCCATGGTATATCCCTTAGGAATTTTCTCATCTCATAATTTCACGTTCGGTACGCCAGCCCCTTGTTTTCAAGTTCTGTTTGGGGGGAGATTACTCCTAGCTCTTCCAGGTACTCAAAGAGCAATACACTGTGATCACTCGTTCCCAAGGGGACTTCAAACTTAACTTCCCTTATATCCGACTCATTCGGGGTGAATATCAGATCAATCATGGCTGGTTCATCGTCTCCTCTCAGTCTTGTCGGTCCCTTGATGTGTTGGCTTAGAAAGTTTCTTGTTGCCACGTCCAGTAGCTTAGCTCTTCATGTGGGTGTCTGTTCTCCCAATCTATCTTCCTATGCTTGAAGTCTCCCATCATTAGTAGTCCTGATCCATTCCTGCTAGCGACAGAAGGTGCTCTCTCTATTATAGAAATGGTAGTCATGTTGTTTCTATCATTTTTCTGTCTGGGGTCTTCTGTCATTTGGTGGGGGATTATATATGAACACTACTATAAGTTTTTGTCCTCCGATTTCTATAGAACCTGTTATGTAGTCACTGAAACCTTCACAGCCCTGGATAACCATCTCAAAACTCCAGCCTTTTTCTTATCAGCAGAACTACTTCACCTCCACCTCTTCCTTCCCTCTCTTTCCTTTCTACACAGTATTCCTGTGGAAACACTGTATTTGCTATGGTTTTCGTTAGCTTTGTTTCTGTGAGTGTTATTATGTCTGGGTTTTCCTCTAGTGCCCGTTCTCCAAGTACATTTGTTTTATTTGTAATCCCATCTATGTTAGTGTACATTGCCTTGAAGCTCACTTTCTTCTGTTCATTCTCATGTCCCCTTTTTGGTGAGCTTTCTGCTGGTGGAGGAAGTTGTTCCATAGATGTGAAGATTTGTGAAATGGTTAACAGGATCTCAGAGGATTCTGAGGTGAGGGGGTTGGGGGTCAAGGGAAGGGGGAACAGGGAGGGTATGGGATAATGGGGAAGGGGGGACAGGGAGGATATGGGGTGAGGGGGGAAAGGGAGGATATGGGGTGAGGGGAGGGAGGACAGGGAGGGTATGGGTTGAAAGGGGAGGGAGAACATGGAGGGAAAGGGTGAGGAGGGACAGTGTGGGGAATGTTGGAGGGGTGACAGGGTGGGTATGGGGGTTTTGAATGAGCATTTGAGTGGGGACAGGGAGGGTTTGGGGTGGGGAGGAAGGTTGGGGTGTTGC